TAAATTTTTTTTTTTTTTTTTTTTTTTTGTCTTATGTTTGGCTAATGTGTATACATTTTCTAAAATGATATATAATATTTTTTTTTTTTTTTTTTGTTAATTTTTTTATATTATTGGTATTATATATTCATATATATATAGACAATTAATGAAAGTTGTAAAAGCTTACATTTAATATTTCTTTTTAATTTCATTAAAATATACACATATATATATATATATATATATATTGTGGATATAACTTATTTAAAATTATCTTGTAAAATAATTTACAGAAGTTATAAGATTCCTTAGAGAGAAATAATGAATATATGAATATATGTATATATATTACATGTGTATAAAAGTTTCAAAATATTACAAAAAATGTTAAGTTGCAAAAAAAATTTTTTTGAGAAAAATTGTTTAAAATATTTAAGTTTTCTTTACAATATAAAGAGTTATCATGCAAGTAATAAAAAATCAGTTAATAAAATATACACACAAAAAAAAATAATTAAAAGGGATAAACTATTAGGTAATGTTAAGCCATTTATAAATGAAAAATATGATAAACCAGAACCAACAGTAATAGCTTATTATTTAAATAATTCTTTAAATTTAAATATTTTAAAAAATGCATATGAAAATGTTGGTTCAAAGGTTTTATATAAAGAACCATATTTATATGTTGAAAGTTGTGAATATTTTGAACAACAAAATAGTTCCGCAGTGTTTTTTAAAAATGGTTGTATTGTAATATGGAATATGAATAAAAAAAATATAAAAAAATTTTTAAATTTTTGTAAAAATTATTTAAAATTAGATGATAACATAGAAACTTACGATTTTGAAGAATTAGAAGTACAAAATGTGAATAATAAAAGTTATGTAAATAATTCTATCATTTATTTAACTAACAACAATAATAGAACTACCGACAAAATTTCTTTTTCATTTGGACTTTTAAGTGCTGTTAGGTTAAATAATCTAGAAAAGAAAATTGAAAATAAATTATTATTAGAAAATAATAATATAGATATTTTAAAAAAAAAAATTAAATCAAGCAATTTAGATTTATTATCAAAACAATTATTTTCTTCAAAAATTACTTTACATAATTTAAGATATGAACTAAATATTGAGCAAGATATTCTAGATGTTCCAGAATCTTTATGGGAATTAGAATATCAGAAAAAATTATTTTTAAATATTCTAAATATTTTTGATATAAAACAAAGAGTTGATTTATTAAATCATAGATTAGGTTGGACTTTTGATTATTTAAATTCTTTCCTAGATTATGTTAATCAAAAACATTCTTCAAGATTAGAAAGAATTATTATCATAATTATTGGCTTAGAGTTAATCTTAGGTATTATGCAAATGATTAAAACATTTGAATTATAATTTACAAAAAAAGAAAAAAAAAATATTTATAAATTAAAATAAAATGAAAAATTAAAGTATATCAAATAAGAAATAAAAAATTAAATATTAAAAATGAAAAAAATAGAAGTGAAGGTATATTAATATGTATAAATTATTTATATGTTAAACGATTCTCTATATTTGCTCTGATTAAAATGTTATATTTTAAAACTTGTAATTCTGGTATTTATAACTACTAGAAGGTTTTAAATAAATAAGTATTCTTATAAAAGGTAAGGAAATATTTTTTAACCTTTTATATTTTAATAAAATTCATACTTCTAATTAATATTTTATGTTTCTCTTTAAAATGAATTTTTTTTTTTTTTTTTTTTTTTTTCCTTTTCCTCATTAGTAAAAATATAATTTCATTAAATTTTTTTTTTTTTTTTTTTTTTTTTTTTTTTTTTTTTTTCCATTATCTTGTTAGATTTTAATATTCCTTTTATTATTTTTAACTTTTATTTTTAATTTCTTCAATTACGAAAATTATAAGTTATATCCCATGAAGGTAGAACTGTATTAATTGAGCAATCGTCAGGTAAATATGGAGGAAGTCCTTCTGGATATTTTATACTTTTATTAGGATGATAACTATCTATACTTTTTTGTTGACTTACTGATTCATCATATAAAAAATCAGTATTTCTTTTTTTATAGATAGTTTTTAATACATATTCTTTTATAGCTAGATTTACACTTTCTTCATCAATTATTAACAATTCATTATAAATTTCCTTTTTATTTATATTTCCATTTAAATGATAGTCATTACATACCTTATTTTTACTTTTTTTATCATCATCATTATTATTATTATTATTATTTTTAATATTATGATTAAAATCTTTATCACTATTCATATTATTATCATCATTTTTATTATTATTATCACAATTCATATTATTTTTACTCACATTACTATCATCATTATTATTATTATCATTATCACAATTCATATCGTTATTATTCACATTACTATCATCATTATTATTATTATCACAATTCATATTATTTTTACGCACATTATTATCATTATTATTATTATCATTATCACAATTCATATCGTTATTATTCACATTACTATCATTATTATTATTATCACAATTCATATCATTATTACTCACATTACTATCATTATTATTATTATTATTATTATTATTATTATTATTATTATTATTATTATTATTATTATTAGTATTAGTATCAGTATTAGTATTATTAGTATTATTATTATTATTATCATCATCATTATTATTATCATTATTTCTATTATTATCATTATTATTATTACTTAAACTAATATTATTAGTATTAGTACTAATATTATTAAATGGATTATTATTATCTGTATTAATATTATTAATTGAATTATTATTATTTATACTATTATTAGTACATGTAATATTATTATTACTACTATAATTATCAGTATTAATATTGTCATTATCATTAGTATTTTTACATACATCATGAATATTTACATTATCATTATTAAAATTATTGTTATAATTATTAGTAGTAGTATTATTAATATCAATAATTTTATTACTAATATAATGGTTATTAACAACATATTTTGGATTGCTAGTTTCTTCATTACAGCTACTGTTTATTTTCTCACTTATTCCATCCTTATCAGTTTTTTCATCTTTAATCTTCATATTTCCATTAGCAAAATTATTATTTGTTGATTTATCAGAAGTATCACATAATTTATTTGAATAATTATTAACTTCATTAAAATCTTGGACATTTATTTTACATTCGTTTAACTTATTTGTATAGATTAATTTGCATGTTTCTTCATTCATTTCCTCATTTTCATTTTTTTTATTAAAAAAATTATCATTTGTATTTATTTTCACATTGCTATGAATTTTATCTACTTTGTTTTTATTTATTATATCATTATCATTATTTTTATATAAAGAATAATCTTTTTCTATTTCTAAATTATTATCATTCGATGTCTCTTTATCTTTATTATTACTTACACTATCAAAAGTTTCTTGAAATAATTTTTCATTATAACTTTCTTCATTTGAATTATCTATTAAACTATTAGGAAATTTTATTTCATTCATCTTTTCGTCTTTTTCATTCTTTATACTATTATGGATATTTTTATCTCTTTCTATATTATCCTCTTTTGTATTGCAATTTATTTTGTTCATATTTTTACCTAACTCATTTTCTTCATTAATATCTTTATTTCCTGTATGAACATTATCATTTGAATTTTCAAAAAGTTGCTTCTCCTTTTTCTTTTGTATATATTTTGCATTTCTTAAAACTTGAAGTGTTTCATTTTGTATGATATCTATCAAAAAATGATTTATTTTATAATCATATTTATTAATATTAAAATTTTTTAATAAATTTTCAATTTCTCTTTCAATATTTGGCATTATATTACAAGGTTCATGAATCACATTATAACCAGCTTTTGACTTATTTTTATAACAGCTTTTCTTTTCTTTCATTATGTAATTTTATAAAATATTAAAACAAAAACAAATATTTATATATTTATAATAAATTTTAAAAATATATATTTAAAAAAAAAAAAATAATATATTTAATTTTTCATTAAAAATATTTAAGAAGTTTTTTTTTATGTTTTCAAAAATATTTCATATAGGAGACTCCACTTTTACACGTAAAAAAAAGAAAAAAAAAAAAAAAAAAAAAAGAGATAAAATACTTTAGTTATATAAAATAGTTAAAGTTTTTTTTAAAAAATTTATAATATTTACTCAAGTTTTTCAATTTTTATAAAAAAGTAGAAGTTTTATCAAGTTTAAAATATTCATTTTTAAATTGTTTAAGAATTAAATTTGTTGAAATTTTATATACGGTGAAAAAAAAGTTATATAATAAATTCAACAGAGTATATATATATGATAATAAAAAAGAAGGTAAAATAAATTAAATATAAGAAATAAGAATTTAAATAATTTAATGATGATATTTTGTTACAAAAATATAATATTAATGGAAAAAAAAAAAAAAAAAAAAAAAAAAAA